TTTCCACGACACTGCACGTTCGCTTCTGGCGCCAAGAGAGAGTACCTTGGCCACGCGCCACCCCCACGCGGCGGGACGATGGGGGTCGGGGCCGCGTCGGGGGCGTCTCCCAACTCCCACGCCACCCTCCCACGGCCGTGAAATAAAGCGATCGCGCATCGCCCTGTCACCCGGCTGCCAGGAGCCCAGCTGCCCACAGGACCGGTGGTCCGCGCCGATGTGCACATGTGGCAGTGCGAGGCCCCGGCAAAAATGGTTACACACTAGCACACTTTCATTCGCGGCCGGCGCGGAACCCCGTCAATAAATAACGTAAGTTCACACGACTCAGTGTAATGTGTGACTCATCTAGTGCGTAGACGCTGTGTGCCGTCCATGCTGCCCTTGCACGGGAGTACCCGCGTGTGGACCGGAGGTGACAGCAGCAACAGTAGCAACAGCGGAGCCCCGTCGAGCAGCCCCCGTGCAAACGGTGCTCACTGCATCTGCCGGTACAGCAGGCGCAGCTGGTCCACAAAGACAAACATCGTGACGGTGTGGCCGCCGCAGCGGCCGCGGTAGTAGGCCAGGAAGCCCGACCTGTTCAGAGCTGGAGGTGTGATGAGACGCTAATCACAGCGAGGTATAGTAGGGCAGGAAGCCCGACCAGAGCGAGAGCGGGCCGCTCGAGCGGGCGACCGCGCCTAAGAAAGAAAAAAACAGACCGGCAATTGGCCGCATGCTCGAGCGGGCGGCGGCGCCGATGGTCTGCATCGTGCCGGTGAAGGGCAGCTTGCCTGCGGTGTGAAGACGCCGTGATTGGTCACAGCAGGTGGTGTGAAGCGACGCTGTTCACAGCCTGCGGTGTGAAGAGGCCGTGATTGCGTGTTCGCCTTCCTGGCGCCGGACGTGCTGCAGCAGCCGCCATACAAGCTGTTTGATCTGGTGGCGGTGCCTCTCTACCCCGGCGCCGACCATCGCAAGATCAGGTCCGCAATAAGACTCTCTCTTCGTCTCGAGCCTCTGCTAAACTTCACCTGATGTCGCCCCTGCCACCCCCCCCGCCCTTAGCCTGCGCCACGTGATGCGCGACCTTGGGGCGGAGCCAGTGGTCAAGGCTGACCTCTTTGCGCGCCTGTCGCGAGCAAGCACCTCCTCGGGCAGCAGCTCCTCCGGCGGCGGCTTCGTGTTGTCCCTGGGCGAGTGGTTGAGGAAGGGAAGGGGACGGCTGGCGCTCTTGTGGGGCGAGGGGCGAGGGCATGGGCGAGGGGCTAGCCGTACCAGCAGTGGCGGCGACGTAGCGGGAAATAGCTTGCAGCCCTGAGAGCGCACTTTCCACGACACTGCACGTTCGCTTCTGGCGCCAAGAGAGAGTACCTTGGCCACGCGCCACCCCCACGCGGCGGGACGATGGGGGTCGGGGCCGCGTCGGGGGCGTCTCCCAACTCCCACGCCACCCTCCCACGGCCGTGAAATAAAGCGATCGCGCATCGCCCTGTCACCCGGCTGCCAGGAGCCCAGCTGCCCACAGGACCGGTGGTCCGCGCCGATGTGCACATGTGGCAGTGCGAGGCCCCGGCAAAAATGGTTACACACTAGCACACTTTCATTCGCGGCCGGCGCGGAACCCCGTCAATAAATAACGTAAGTTCACACGACTCAGTGTAATGTGTGACTCATCTAGTGCGTAGACGCTGTGTGCCGTCCATGCTGCCCTTGCACGGGAGTACCCGCGTGTGGACCGGAGGTGACAGCAGCAACAGTAGCAACAGCGGAGCCCCGTCGAGCAGCCCCCGTGCAAACGGTGCTCACTGCATCTGCCGGTACAGCAGGCGCAGCTGGTCCACAAAGACAAACATCGTGACGGTGTGGCCGCCGCAGCGGCCGCGGTAGTAGGCCAGGAAGCCCGACCTGTTCAGAGCTGGAGGTGTGATGAGACGC